AGGCACCCTAAAAATGTCACAAAGGGCTAGAACTATGTGGATACCTGATATTTTTAATAACTGACAGGGAGAAAAGAAAGAAAAATAAGAAGATAAAAATGAAACAGCTTTTTGGAGTTCACTTAACAAAATGAATTAAGCATTTATATTCTAGCTTGTAGAGTTATGTGTTGCATTTTAACCTATTATTTAAGAAACCTCTGCCAAGGTACAAAAGGGCATAAGAAAATGCAAATTTCTGAAGCTTCTTGCATAAAGAACAATACCAGAAAGGACCGAAGATGCAAAGAACCCAGATACAGAGGCACTTCTATCTCTAAGCCTACCGAGACTGACAGATGGGACTCAGATAAGCACCAAAGGACCAAAAGCACACGCATAAAGGAGAAAAGTTCAGAAGTTCAACCATGAGGAAGACCACAGTCTTCAGCCTCAGAGACCACCAGGGACCCCTGTGTGACCACCATGGCAAACCAGGCATGCCTAAAAGGGCATGGACCTATTTAGCATGAGATGTGAGGACAGGCAGAGCCAGGGGTTGAATATGCATAAAATTGTTTATTTCAACAATATGTTTTAAAATTTTGCTATTTTAAACATTAAAAACCATGGGGAAATGAATTTTTTTTTTTGAAGTGATATGCAGAATAAATAAATAGACTCCACAAGTTGGGGTAGTTATGAAGTGGGTATGTATTGTCAGCGCTCGGCACAAGTGAGATCGCTCTCCAAGACTTGTGCCCTGAGGCTTAGTCTGACCCACATCTTTATTCCCAAAGGTTTTACATATGCAATTCATTACACAACTTATATTCTAAAACATCCAGTAATCTTCAAAACATGTTAAAACATGAAATATCCTAGACAATATGTTTTATTTACTCTTCCCTTAGTGTGCTGCTACTGTGATGCTGTCATTCACTCGTTTTCCAGAAGGGGCTTGCCTTTGCTACAGGCTCTGGGGAAAGTGTGTTAGCACCAGGCATGGCTGAACTGGCAAAGGAAGTGACTCCACAGCCAACATTTTGTAAAAAACTCTGCCTGTTTTCCGATGAAGTTTCCCACTCTTGCTGCCATTTGTGCATGCTGGTACAAACAACTGGCCTGCTGGAAATGATTAAGTGACTGAAAAATCCTGGCATTTTACTGCCAGTCACTAAGAATGCCTCTCTGTCTCTTGTACATTGGCATAATTGAGCAGGACATTATTTAGCCTGGGGAAAAGGAGGCAGATCTTACTGCTCTCTACATGTACCTGTGAAAGCAGGCTGTAGCCAGGTGGGTGCCAGTCTCTTCTCCTGGGTAACAAGTAACAGGATGAGAGGAAATGGCCTCAAGTTCTCCAGGGGGAGTTTTACGTTGGATATTAGGAAAAATGTCTTCATGGAATATGTTGTAAAGTATTGGAACAGATTACCCAGGGCGAACTATTAAACCATGTCCTCAAGTGCTATATCCACACATATTTGAACACTTCCATGGGCAGTGCTAAGTTGATGGCTGGCCTTGATGATCTTAAGAGTCTTTTCAATCCTTAATGACTCTCTGATGCTGTGATTGTTACTAACATTATGGCCACTAGCTGGAGAAATGCATGTTGCCTTACATTTGCCAAAGAAACCATCACACTGTTTCACAAAACAGAAGTACCACCTTCAGACTTTACGGCATCTCCTCATTTAGGTGTTTGGTTCTACGAATCTCAATTTATTTACTTATGCATTTATTTTAATTTTGGATTTTTGTCTTTTTTTTTGCTTCTCTTGCAACAACTTAAGAACAGTATCTGAAAATTAAATTCTATCCTATGGTATCAGACTGACACCTCTATAATTCTTCTGCAAGCATAGAAACTTAGCATTGGCACATGCCTCTGTCTCTTGAGGAAAGCAGTACTTATGTGCACTGACATCTATAGAGAGGTCAGTCTGAGAAGTTCCAGACCATGGAAAGCAGCAAAGATCCTCCCCTCTCCCTCCCACAAGCCTGGTGCTCTGCGTGCTTGCTCCTGCCTTCAGTGCTCTCTCCCTTCTCCCTGGGGTCCTCATCCTCATCTCACTCAACCAGTTCTGGTTCCCTCATTGTTTGAGGGAAAACATTTCTTTCCTTCTGCCGTGGTATTTGCTCTGCTTCACAGTTCTCATGTTACCCCTCCAGCACCCCCTGTTCAACTTCTTGACCTTGTCTTCTGGTCCGCTAATGCCAAGTCCTCCTGTTCCTCATTTTATTCTGTTCCAATCTGTCTTCCCCTATTTCCAGTTCTTGCTCCTTCTGCACTAGTATGGTTTGCCTTGAGATCCCAGCTTCCAAACCTTATACACAGCTGCACTTTCAGGAAATTTCAGCCCTGTGTCTCTGAGAAATACTCAGGGTAGATGGACAGCAAGCCTTCATACAAATACTTGTGTTAATGATGACATGAATTCTCATAACATAAAGAAATGTTACTGGCTGTAGCAAGAACAGCCAAAGTACATCTTTGATGTAATACTTCCTCCCAGTGCACCTTCATGTACTAAAACTTTGTGCTTAAATAGGAAAGTATTAAATTAAACTTTCTTAGAGAAAAATCATTAACTTGCAGGTGTTTTAATATAATATAGCACTTTTAAAAAAAATTTTATTTCGTCTCTATAACAGCTGGTTTTGATTAAACCTGCAACAGCAAAAAATTTCTATCAACTTCAGTAATCAGCACAGGGAAATCCAAAGCAAACAAACCTGGGAAAACCAAGAAAAACTGAAATTAATTCAAATTCAGAGGACAGTAGACAAAAAAGCATTAAAATCTCCTAATACTAATCTAGAAAAAAATTATAATCTGGATAGACTTTGACAGAGACTAGAAAGGGAACTGGAGTAATTTGTGTTAGGCAACACAGAAGTGACAGAGCTGAAAATACAATTTGAGACTTAAACGTGCCTGCATGTATGTGTAAGAAATTGAAATAACCCAGCAGCAAAATGTAAGAACCCCAGTTACAGTATTTTTATAACATTTGTTCCATTCCAGCTATTAAGGATGCCATGATGTGAATATATTTGGACTGTTGCAAAAAAAAAAAAAAACCAAAATGTACATTTACATGTCACATATATTTTTGCAATGATAATGTAGATGTTACATAGAGTGATAGCAAATAAATAAAATATTATTACTTTAATTTCCCTATAACAAATGTGTGATGAACTATTTCTATACCACTTTGGAGGCAGGGAGGGTCAACTTTCAAACATCATACACTCAGCTTTTGAGGTAATTGCTTTCTTATTTCAAACTATGAAAGAAAACCAGAATGGTCAGCATGGTTTACATGGTTTAATATAATTAATTCAGATATTATGCTCTGTGCCTTTCCACGTGTTGTGGTTTGATACATAAAAAAGAATTTTTTTGGAAGGAAGAGGTTAATTTAGACATTGACTAATGAAAGTGGATACGCTTTTGAGAACACAGAGGGGTTAAAAGTAAAATTCTTAAGAAAACTTATTTTTTTTTAGTTTTAGTTAGCGTGTAGTATAAGACTCTTCCTTGTCTGGTGACGAGCTGGGTGGGGGAGGGCAGAGCTATGTAGCCTTTGGAGGTAGGCTACATAGGGTAGAGGGACTGGAACTGGGCTGGTTTTTTATAAATAGAAGAGTAGACAAATTTGGGATGTTTATGTTTTTTCTCTTAGATTCTCTTTCTCTCTTGAGAGAGAAAGAGACAGTAGTGGTTTTGTCAGCAGTTTACTGCGGGGAAGGAAAAGAGTAGGGAAGCTGTAAGGTGCTTAGCTGTCTGTGGGAGCTGGAGTATGGGCAGTAAGCTATTTTTGGGAATATTTTAGGAGGATGCCGGTGAGCCAAAGAGACCTGCTTCAGCTAGGAAAAGACGGAAGTAGAGCAAACAAAGAAAAGTTAAAGAGGTTTGTGGTAGTGCCCCCTGTCTTCAAAGAAGAAGAGGAGAAGATCTCTGTTCTTAGATCCTCGGCCCCAGGGGAAAGTGGGGGGGACTGTGGTCCCAAAAATGAAAAACTAAACTATTATGTTTCCCCTCTTGGCAGGGCATCCTTGAAAAGAAAAATCCTAAAAGCAGTCTATCCATCCATACATTAGTAGTGAGAGCACTGTACATAAAAAAAAAAAAAAGGGTCACCATTGGCAAACTTTTTTCTCCGGGCAGTGCCATGTGGTGACACGGAAACACAAGATGTAGCAACTGTATTTCTTGGGGGGTCTATGACACAGGAGGGGCTCCTCTCTCCCTCAATAAAGTGAAAATTAATTGTCTAAAGAATAGAAACCTGATTGGAGTCCAAGTTGTGTCTCACTATAGTTTATTAGAAGTAGGTAGTGAGAAAAGGAATGCTTTAAAAAGTTTTCATTTTAATTTTTGTGGGTTTTTTTCCTTTCTTTTTCCTTTTATAGTAATATAGTAGTAGTAGCTTAATAAATTTTTTTCTTGTCATTAAGCTTACGCCTGCTTTGCTCTGTTCTCGGTTGCATTTCACAGCATTCAATTAAAAAATTACATTTTCATGAAGGCACTGGCATTGTGCCAGTGTCAAACGATAACACCACATGACTTGGAAAAGCTAACTCAAGTGCTTGAAAATTTTCTTAAAACGATGTGAATCAGCTCTGTAATTTCAAACAGCAAGGAAATGAGGTCTGAAGCAAAGGCAAGGTGCGCACTTATTGCTCCCAGTTATCAACACGGTCTCCAGAACGATTCCAAAGCACGGCCCATACCAGCTATCACGAAGAAAATTACCACAGCCAAAAACTGCACTGCTCTTCACGCCGCCTCACACGCGGTTTGGCAGAACACAACAAAGCGCAAGGCGCAGATTGCCAATTAGTCACTCATTACAAGTATTATTTGACGTGCAGACGATTCAAAACCACGTTGCTAACTGTCCGCGCCGTTTCACCTCACCAGCAGGGCGGATCAGGGGGCAGGAGCTGCCCACGCCGCCTGTGGCGGAGCCGCGTCCCCGCCTGGCCGGGGCAGGGCCCGGCCCCGCGCGGCGCCGCCCCCTCAGCGGCCACGTTGACAGGGCGGGCGTGGGCCGTGTTCGCCGGGCCGCGTCGGGGTGCGGGACGCTGTGCGGGAGCGGGCCGCTGCCACAGTAAAAATGTCTTCGCCTCCCAAAGAGAAAGCAGAGACGCGGGCCGGACACCCTCCTGCTGGTACGGCCGCCGGTTCCCGTCTCTCCGCTCTTTTTCTTGCCACCCTGGGGGACGGGACAGGGGGGCCGGGGCGGCCGCGGTTCCTCGCCGAGTCCCCTCCTGTGCGCGCCGGGGCTGAGGAGAGAGAGGGCGGCCTCGGGCGGGTCCGGCCGCTGCCGGGAATTCGAGCCCGGGGTTGTCAGCCCCGGTAGGTTCGAGCCCCCGGGGATAAGAGCCCCGGTGGGTCTCCTCGCTCTTCACTTCCCGGGCACGATGCGGCGCTCTGGCCGCGGGAGGTGCGTTGGGATCCTCGCCCGAGCCTCGGAGCTTCCCACGGCGCTCTCTGCCCTCCGGCAGCCTCTCCCGGTGACGGGGCTACGCTCCCTGCCCTGCCTCTCCCCGGGGAGAGCTCTGGTTGGGGCCAAACCCACATCGGGTGTGTGCAGCTTGGCATCTCCAGGCTCCCAGCCGGCAGGCAGACAGCCTTGTCTTCTCCGGCATCCCGCCCTCGAAAGGCGGCGGAGGCCTTCGGAGCCCCGCCTGGGGCTGCTAGTGGTGGGAAGGGGAGCGGTGTCGGCCCCTCGCAGCTTGCGCGGCTGGTCCAGCAGAGTGCACGCCGAATGTGAACAGACACTGAAACCAGGAGTGCTCTGTGCATCCATTTTGCCTGTGGGCATCACGGTGTGAGTGCCAGAGTGTCCTGCGCACTCCTGGCTGTGATTCTGGAGCCTGGCAGGGTAGGAAACAGGTAAAGGTGCTTGAGCAGTGCCCAGCAAAGGAGCTCTATCGCCTTCCGTCCTGCTGCTGTGTGCGAGTGGACGGTCAGGGTGGGTGCTCCAGTGTGTCAGCTCCAGTAAGATGCCATCTGCTCATCTTCCAGGGTCCACGGGTGGTAGCTCCTCTCTGTCCAGAGGTGGGGTTCAGTTCTTCCAGAATCGAAGTTGTGTTCCTTCACGTACTGTTAGTTTTGCTTTTTACAGTTTTCTTAGAAAGGGGAACTTTGGTCCCTGCATCAGCAGCTTTATATATGTCATCTAATGTTCCCCTGTGGAGTAGTTGGTAAGCTTATTTTTAAGTGTTTCAGTAAAAAATCCCGAGGTCGCTAGTTTTATATTCAGATCAATTTATGAGATTTAAAGTTAAATTTATAAACAGCTGTTGAACCATAATTGAATTCTGTGCTCTTAATAATGAGGACCTGAAATTTCCTCTAAATAGAAGTGAGAAATAATGGCTTTGCTTTGTATGGCAGATACAGTTCAGCAGTGCAGTTGAGTCAGTTTCTTGGCTGAGCAGTCATTCCAGTCCTGCAGCCTCTCTTTTCATGGCATTAGCTCTTACCCAGCCTCTTGCTGAGCTGCTTCAGGGAACAAACCAAAGCATCATTTTTCAGTGCTGACAGCTTTTATTACTTTAGGTGCTCGAGCTGGCTTGTCTTCAGGTACATGTCAGCTTCAGAGTGGAAGGATCATTAAGATCTTGCGCTGGTTTAGCTCTGTCTTCCAGTTACACCATTGATGAAATGAATGTGCTTTGCAACTGTATTTTCTGATGTTGTTCCATGTTTGAGAGTTTTGCTTCAAAACCTGTCTTTTAAAACTGGTGAAAATTTTTGAAAGACCTGAAGTGAGCATCTCTAGGCCACATGAGAAACTAGCAATGTACAGTGTACAAGCTCAACTGGAGTACAGTGCAGGTTTACTTTGCCATCAGAATGTTTCAGTTTGAGTTTTTTTCTTTGTAAAACATGGGCCCATGTATTAACTGAGGAACACCTTCAACTGTGTGCCATTTAAGGCATCCCTGTTTTGGTTTTTTTTTTTTCTATTTTTTGTGATCACACACACAAAATTTATCTTTGGAAGGAAGGTGATCACTGGGTCTGTTATTGAGGCCAGAAAAAAACTAATGCTTTACCATATCTTCAAGTCGCTTTGGGAAGAAGATTTTTTTGAAACTGTTTTGCACTTTGGTCTTTTAACATCGGGAAAATCCACAAGTGTTATGACTAGCAAGAGTATGTATTTACTCTAGTGGCTGAAGATAGGTTTTAATCTTCTCTCTCAATTTTTTTTAGATTCTTGAATATTGGAATAATGCAGTAGATCAGTCTGCAAACAAGTTTTAATAAAATGAAAGTAAGAAATTCTTTAAAAGAATTAACACAGGTGGCATTTTATTCATAAATAACAAAGCAAATTTCTATCAAAGAAAACGTGTGAATAGGGAATCTCTTGTGATAAATGGCTTAAAAGCCCAGGTTTTGCTGCATACAGTTCTATAAAGAGACCTGTAATTACAGACGTGACTTACCCTACTGACTATGTTGGACATGTAAGTTTGGAAAGATTTGGGTCATCAAATTAAAAGCAAAATTGACAAATCTGTTGTTTTTCAAGTGCACCATTGGCCCTTGCATACTGACAGCACTGTGTTCCTCTCTGCATTGATCTTTCACTTAGAGGGAAAAGAAAAGGCAGTTGAAAAGACAGAGGGTAATGAAATGGAAAGAAACCTCAAGACCTCAGTGCCGGAAGTGATTTTGATCTCCCCTCTGAAATTTAAGAGGGCCCTAACTTAATCTTTATTAAATATCCGCCTGTCAGTGAGATCAAGTGTGCCCATAATACATTGCTGAGTATGTTTGTACAATTCCTCTGAAGAGATCTGTGTAATTATGATTTAGCTGTTCATCTAGTGCATACTGTGGAAGGTGATTGTGTTAATAGTGTATTTATGTTTTATGATAGATTTGTGAAAATAGGTGCTTTTTTGTACATTAAAAAAATAGCTCTGAGCTGAGATTTCTGTGAAATGAAGGCATATAATACCACCTCTTCTTACTTTGTTGAACACTAATGCATTCTCCCTTAATCTTGTACAACTGCATATTTTGTGTTTCCTTTTTCATACATCTTGTCGTTGTAATGGAATCTGTTATTACACACTACATAAGAAATGAATTATTATTTTAATGTTGAATGCATACTCAAAGAAAATGAAAGCTGCAAAGACTTTTGGTTGTACTCTGGATTTGTAAAAGTTCTGTCCAGTTGTGGTGACCAGCGGGTGATTTGGGCTGAGCTGGAAGGTTTCCCTGGGAAGGACTGCCTCAGGTCTGCACCCTGAGCGAGCTGGGGCTAGGGCATCCCTGACCTGTAGTGCTTCTCTAGGCACTCAGTACTCGCTCCAACTCAGTGGGGTTTATTTCAGAATTCAGTTTCAGAGAGGAGTCCAGCAGTGGGGGCAGGGAGGAAAAAGTAGAATGCTTCCTGACTCCAGATCAGCTTGAGTGGTAATTGATTAACACAGTTATAATGTATTTCCAGAAGGAGTAGTCATACCCTTATGAGGAACGCAGGCTGGCATTCACAGGACTGACAAGGTAGTCCTGTTTGCCTTTCGAGAGTGGAAAACATGACATATGATAATTAAAATTCAAAACTTGTATTCAGTAGTGAAGCAGATAACTTGTTGCTCTTCTGAGTGTGCTGGCAAATGATCCCTTCTTTATTTCATGCTTTAGTAAAGGCTTAGGGCCACTTGGCTGTCACCACTCCAGGGAGCCATTTCCTATCCTCTCCTGCCTTAGCACCTGAGTTCTGCACTTGTTCTTCAGCACAGGAGCTGCCTTCTTCCTAATCCCAACACAGAGTCATTGACACCATCCGCTTCTGGACACAGCAGTCTGACAGTGTTCTGGAAGGTGGTTTATGAGTTATTTAAATCCTTTGTTTGCTGGATAAGGAAATCTGATCTCTTTTAAGGATGATTTTTAAGTAACAAAATCACCATGGTAAGCATCTGTCAAATTATGTAGTAAATGCTAGGCAAGTAGGAAATAGATGATTCCTCATAACTCCTGAGAAAAATCTCACAAGTGTTGAGTGGGTTTTTCATTAGTTTCTTGGATGTCATCAGTTCTTCTCTTGTCACACCCTGAGGTAATGTAGCTTAGCTGATACCTTTTGAAAAGGAAGGTGAATTATGCTGCAAGAGTATTTATCATCTTAAACTAAATCTCCTGAAACTGGATTGGGGGGGTAGAGCATGCTGTGTCATGGGTGGCAGATATGTACAGAAAGCTATCTAATTTTCATTTTTGGTCTCACAAATACATATGATTATTGTAGCTGTTTGCTGGTTCCTTCTGCACAGTAACCTTGGATTGCTAAATATAATTCAATTATGCACCAAAGTACTTTAAGCTGTATATACTATGCCTGACTATATTAGTTAAAAAAATCACATTTAAAATTCTAAGTTGCTGCATTAGTCACTATTATGCCTTTTTATTTGTCTGGTTATTTGCTTTTTAATCCCTGCTTTTTAATTCTGCATACAGGCAAATCTGAATATGTTAGCTGTGTATTTTTTCCAGGGACAGATGAAAAGAAAAGGAATGGCTGGTGGCCTGATGATACATAGTGTGAGAGGAGAGGCATTTTAGATCTAAATTAGCAATAATCTTCAGGTGTCATTGTCTCCAGTTTTCTGTTAGATGTTGAAGGACATGGAAATGTGTGTATTGTTCAGAACTGTTTTTTGTAACCCTGACAGATGTTGCTGTGGAGACAGCATCTTCCATGAAAGGTCATTTGAAACAAATAAGTAAAAGGTCCCGACTGTGCAATGGTGTTAAATTTAGAAATTAATTAAAATAAATTAACAATTTATAAATAAATGTAAATAAAGCATAGCAGTACTTTGATTAACTGAGATATTAAAAGAAGACTACACTTGGCAAAACTTAGTGTTTACTTTTGCAAACAAATTTCTAAGGAGTTAATTGGAATTTTAATTTGTGCTTCACTTCAGACAACAAAGAAATGTAGTTTTCTACAAAGAAATGTAGTCTTTCTTTCCTTGTCCCATGTGAAACATTTCTGAAATTAAAGTTTTAGGCTGGAGAGGGAACACAAAATCATTAGTGATTTGAGTTTGGGGTTTTTTAGTGCATGATAAGAGGACACAGTTTTGATAGGTTTTAAAAGATATTTCCTTGAGTTTGTCTGTTGATTGCCTGTCTTTAGTTAAGGACCTTTGTTGAATTAGAAATTTATCATTCAAATATCACTCAGAACTTAAAATCTGTTTTTAAAAGACAGGGCCAAAGAGCTTTCTTCTGGAGCAGTTTCTCTTTCCCGCTTTCCTTCACCCAGGCTCTAAAATTTATGCACAGCAGTGGTCTTTCCATTGCTGTCCTGGTTAAGAACTGGGAATTAAACTTGTTTCTAGGTTTCTGGAATAGCACTGAATAGCTGTGAGGTGCCCTGCTCCCTCTGTGGCAGGACACAGGAGGGATGTCAGATGCACAGCCTCCCTGTCCCTGCCAGCTTCAGCTTCTCGGAGTGCTGCTCTGGCATCCTGCTCCGTCCAGCTGTGACACCTCTGCCGGGGCTCACCACAGATGCTGTGTGAAGGCACTGTGAAACACAAACCAGCGTGTCTCTAAGTGGTTTTATTGACTTATGACCACTATAGTGGTTTTCTGATGTGGTTGCTGATGGCAGTGTAACTCATCCAATTAAGCTAATGAGATGCGTCGTCTTATCCTGTGCTGTCCTGTAAGCATGTGTATCAATTGTTGAAGAAAAAGTACACTATTGAACCAGAACACAGATCAAGAGCAACCTGTCTGTTGCTCTGCTTAGGAGCTGCAGTGCTAAGCCTGGCTTGGTTCCTGTCTTAGATTGCACCTTGGAGTGGATAAGTGATGCACATAAGTGGATCTGCTTTCACTTCTCGTTTTGTGTTTCAAAGGGCTGCTTTCATGATTTCATTTCTAAAAGTTAAATGATGCAAGAATTTAAAATGTTTTAAGTGTTCATATGTTTTGCAAACCAAAAAGCTCTGTTCTAAATACAAAAAAAAAAAAAAAAAAAAAAAAAAAAAAAGTTAACAGTTCTCCTAAATTTTGCTTTTTATGACACTATTTGTGAAGTACTTCTTTGTATAAATACCATTATTATAGATGTCATTTTTAACATGAAATGACAAGTCAGTTTCTTTGGTTTGTGGCCTTTCGTGTAGTGTTATGCAAGTCATTGCCTCAGTTTCTTCTGACTGCTGCAAGTTAGTATGGGGTGGAGGGGGAATTACAACATAATTTGAATTTTCTAAAATGTCATTGGAAGCAGGTGGTAAAATGAGCTGCAGCTTCTCAGGATAAGCAAATACAGCACCATGTTAAAGAGAATGTCAGATGTGGTCCTGAAGTAGCTGTTCTTTAGGCTTGCCACTTTTTAACACTTTGTGTCTCTTTTGCAAACTGTGTTTACTATTAAATTACTACGCAAAGTATCAGGAGGGAAGCAGGGTGGGTCATCCTTACATTCTTCACCTAACACTGATTTGACTGAGGTTTGTTGTTTTCCATTTAATTTTCATTCTAGTGAAAGCTGGTGGGATGCGGATTGTGCAGAAACACCCACAAAATTCAGATGCCAAAGAAGAAAAAGATAAGGATGACCAAGACTGGGAAACCAGCAGGTGAGCACTTTAATCTGGTGCATGTGCTACAGTGAATTTCCATGACCTTGGACCATATCACCAGTTTGTTTTCCTTGTGGATAGCAGAGCAAAAGTGCTATTGTTTTTGTATGATAAAGCAGTAGCAAGTTGGATGCTACTTCAAGAGTATTGGGGAATTTGGGAACTTTCATATTGCTGAGCCTTCTTCAAAGGATCCTGCCATGTAAGAGAAGGCTGGAGAAAAAAGTACAATAGAGGTAAAACCTCAGCTTTCCTAAAATGTTTCAATTCAGACTGTTCAGAAGCACAGAGGCTAGGCATATTTGGGCACAGGTATTAAGCAGGCAGTCCATATATGAGGTGGTCTTTCTGTATGCTGGGTGTTTCCTTTTACCCTTTGGCCCCTAATCATGTGTCTGTTTGGTATTTGACAATGGTGCTTTAGAAAACACAAATAAAAATACATGGTACTAATATTATCTGCTTTTCTTTTAGATGGGAATCTATCAGTTTTGGTGGTGGTGGATATAAGACTGCAGTTAGTAGTTTTAACTAGATTTATCAGATTACTGCCATTTAGAAATGAAAGCAGGGAGGTTCGATGGACTGTTGCTGTTTTTCTGTTCTTACAAAAGCCACCTGGTTTTATGCTGCTTTTCCTCAGCTAGCTGTTTTTTTTCCAGCCAAGACTGTACTTACCTGAAATGTTTGTCTACTAACTTAGGGCATGGGTTTGTCCTTGCTATTTGCTCAAGTTAAAAAAACAAACCAGAGAAACATTCCTGGTGTTTTGGTAAGTAGACTGACTTAGATTATATTTCTTTTACATGTAAAATAATGGTCATAAATAAGCATTGTGAAAATGTCTAGAAATAAACCCGAATGTGTTTATTTACTTGAATAGGAAACACGTTGCTGAGAAGGGAAAAGTAATTTTAATTAATAAATTAAAATGCCAGGCAGGAGAATTAAAATTTTCTTCATCAACCAAGTTGATCATCTTGTAATTCTGCACTGTGACACATAAGTTGAAAGAGTCTGTATTGCAGTCAAGTTTTGTCTAAAGTAAGAAATTTTATCTTGGGGTCAATTTAAACTTTGTTCAGGGATACATCCTTTTATTTGAGGTGTGTTGACCTTGACTGGTCAGCTAGTGTCCACCAAGCTGCTCTATTACTCCCCTACTCAGCAGGATGAGGAGAGAAAAAGTAAGATGAAAAAAAACACATCTATCAAGATAAGGACATTTAAATAAAGCAAAATCAAGGGCCATTCATGGGAGCAAAGGAAAATAAAATATATATCCACTATGTCCCATCAGTAGATGATGTCCATCACTTCCTGGGAAGCAGGATTTCAGTATGTGTTGTTAGTGATTGCTCTGAAAGCCAAACATCATAGTAATGAATTTTCCCTGTCTTCTCCTCCTTTCTCCTAGCTTTTGTTGCTAAGCAGATGGCATGGCATATTCCCTTGGTCAGTTGGGGTCAGCTGTCCTAGTCAGCTGTCCTAGCTGTTTTCCCTTCCCAAGATCTTGTCTACCCACTGCCTGCAGGAGAGAGGATAGTGTTGGAGAAGCTGCTTAGGTTCTGTGTAAGTGCTGCTCATCAGTAGCCAAACCTGGTGTGTTTTATGTTATGTGGTGTTTCTAGTGCAAAGCACAGCACTGTGAGGGCTGCTGTGGGGAGAATTTACCACCTCAGCCAGACCCAGCACAGTGAGTTACCTGCTTGTCTTTCCCTAGCATGCCAGCCTCATGGCGAGGAGCCTCATTACAATCCAAATGACAAGACTTCTTGTGCCTGTTCACAGATCTAAGCCTCTCTTGCAACACAGCACCTGCTTTATTCCCTTCTTCAAACAAGATTATGTTTTCCATGTTTCACTCAAATAATGTAGGGAAAAGTTAAAATTTAACCTTGATTTTTGTGGCTGTGTGTCTGCTGCAGCCGGTGCTGTGACATAGTAGAAGCACATCTCTAGGGGTAAGCAGCAGGTGCTGAGGACTTCATGTTCACACTGTGTGTGTTTTAGAGGTTAATTAGTTTGGTCATTTGGACTGAAGGACCAATCCTAGTTGACATGTGTTAGATGTCTCCTTGAAATGTGTGTGTCAGTTTAGCATCACCTCAGGGATGCCCTGAGACCAGTACCCAGTGAGAAACAAAACCTAGGCAGCTAGGGTGGCATGAGTGGGCACTCTTGATTTGTAGATGCTAACAAAAACAAACTGTATTTTAATACTGTGAGCAAAGGTTATGCTTTTAAGACAGAGGAGAAAGTTTAATGACTTCTAGAGCTATCTTATTAACTAGCTGTGGCACCTCAAAATCCATGCCTTTGTTCACCCAATCTGTTGATTGTCAAAATATGCACTTTGAGTGTGCCCTTTGCTTTAGTTTTCATGTAGAGGATACTTTATTGGTTTGTATTAGGCACTTGTACATACAGTTATTCTGAGTCTGTGTATCAGACTGAAAGCATTTAGCTGAACTATTTTATTTCTTTGATCAAATCCTCTTGAGAAAGAAAGCAGCAGGAGGACTTAAGAAGCATAGTTAGATGGGAATTAATATGAATTATAATATAAGTTTGTTTACAAGTCAAGAGAAGTTGTTTTCCTGGTAGAACTGCGAGCCTTTTGTGTATGTAAGGGAAAGGGTTTAATGTTCTTTTGTAGACTCCTTTGGGAATACTTGCAGAACTCTGGTGGCAGTACAAGCTATGTGAGCAAGAAGGTATTTAGCCATAGACAGAATAAACTAGTCAAAATTAAATTAGGTTTGCAGTGCATAAGCTGCTTTTGTGCTGGAAGGTGCAGTCCCCCGGGGTTTGTGTCTGCTTCAGATGATTTGTAGTGCTGTTTGAAAACCTTTGGATTTCTGATGTGTGTGAGGGGTGGTTTATCAGGAAATGGATTTGTCAAGAGGGGTGAAGTTAGCATTGCTGCTTTCTCCAGCACCAATATGTATGTACTTCTGGGGTTTAGTTAGCTGGTATTTTGTATCCCTTTGTTAAGCAGATATGGAAACATCTGTGTTTTTAACTTTGTACTTGTCATGGTTTTAGTCTTTGCCATTTAAAGGTGGTATTGTTGATATGATGCAATCTCTAGTCCCATTGCATCTGAAGTCAAAAGAAGCAAACAGCCCTTCAGGAAATCTCTGTCAGCTGATATGAGCAGCTGACAAAATAAGAAAACAGAGAAGAGTAATTTGTGTGTGAAGAGAGGGAGGCTAGGATGAGTCATTACTTTAATCTCATTGTAAATTTATCTGAAGACAGAATAGTGGAACTGGTAGTAAATGAAAAAAAGAAGAATTCAGTCTTTCCCAGAGTTCTCTGGGAACTCTGAGAGCACATGGCTTCCCCGTAATGTCACAGATCTAAACAGTTGCTAAGCAAGAAGACTTCAGTTCATAGAACTATTTGTGGCTTTGGAGACAGCTGGTGTTGTTTTTGCAGCTTGCAGGAAAAGACTTGGATCAGTGTTCCTAGTCTTAATGTAAACAAAGCTGACATAGGTAAACACCCCTGACATAGTGCTGTGATAAAGGTGACTTTAACATTCACCAGGTAGGTCTTTGATGTTTTCTTTTTCTCAGTTGTTTAGCAACTTGCAGTCCAGTTACTGTAACTTATGCTGTAAAGTATTCTACTCAATTCTATTTCCTTAAATAAAATTATGACGACCTCCCATTTCATGAAATTGTAGGGAGACTTGTCAGGGTCGTGATTTGCGATCCCTTAAAACAGTATGTGATAAGACCATTTACACAAATTGAAACTTTTCCTGCAGGGCAGGTCTCAGCCTTGAGTTGTAGCAGAAATAATTTTATATGTTTAGTATAAATATAGTTTTAATTTAAAAAGGAATGTCTGGATATGATTATATGGTGCAGGAGGCTCAATGAAAGAAAGTTGCACAGTTTGGTGTAGGTGAACTAAAGATATGTGTGGCATCCAAAGCCAGTGGCACCCCCATGGTCAGGGTGCCAGTGTTAAACTGTACTGCGCGGTAGGATCCTCGGCCCACTTTCTTTTCAAGATGAGTCATTTTGATCAACCTGTTTAGGGCTAGGATTCTGCCGGCTGAACTTCTGTACTGATGAATTACTGATTTTTCTTAGGGTTTTGTAATTTCTTAACACTTGTGTTGGTTTGCATTTTTGGATACGGTTGCAGTTTTTATTGACTGACAGTCATACTGATTGCTGCTGGAAGCTTTTTTTGTGATGCTAGAGGCGGGTGAAACATATAAATAGAAGTTATAAATCAAAAGCCATCATTTTTCAGGACTGTATGTTGTCATAGAAATTATTTAGAATGAATAGGCTACTCAAAGTCCTAGGCTTTATTAAAAGCCGATTAATGCCTGTTTGACTGAGATTTGCAGTATCATCTGCATTCCTGTGCCAGCAGCTGACTCTAGACATAATAAATACTCCTGAAAGACAGATAATATGAATTGAGAGCTGCATGTTCACTTTTGCACAAGAGATTCATTAATTGTCACTCTGGGGTCTCAAGAAAAAGAAACTGGAATCATCTATCAGGATATGGATTAAAAAAAAAATATTTGAAGTATCTGGCTTGTTTTTAACAAACAGGGTAAACTGAAAAGGCTTTTATGTCTTAAAGACTCTTGCCTACTCTTGTTATATTTCTGAAACAAAGTTGGTAATTACCATGATTTAATTACTCAAGATAAACACACTAGTGTAGTTTCTCTCTATATATGTAAATTGTATGTGTTTTGTATCTTGAGCCTACCTGGAGATTGTGAACCCAACATTATGCCTGACTTTTGTGAAGTGGATATTTGCCTTTCATCCATTGGGTGAAAGGAAGAAAAACAAGAGAGTATTGACTCAAAAGTAAAATTATGCTAATGAAGCATATGGGTGTTTGTATGTCAAAGAGTACTTTCAATACTTAGGTGAGAGAGGAGTTGTCAAAGGCCCCTATTATCCTTCAGTGTTACTTGTTAAGTCTGAATACGCAAGTTGAGCTAAACC